TCTTGGTTTGTTTTAATGAAACAACAGATCACCTTGGTAACCAGCCCTCTGGCTTCTGCCTGCTGATAAGGATCTGAGGCCGGAGGAGGTTACCTAACCACATGGGCTCCAGAGCTCTGCTTTGAGTATGGGCATATCCAGGTCCTTAACTTCAAGGAACCCAGACCTGAGTTAAAATAGAAGCCACGGTTGGGCCGGAAGCTGGAGTGGAGGATATTCCTGCTGTTAACTGCTGATGCTGCAAACAGGCATGCAGTTCTGTGGTTTTTCTCTCCAGCCTTTTGCCTTGAACGTTTAAAAGGGAGGAGGGGAGAGAGAGCAGTAGCTGCTACCTACTGGTCACCCTCCAAATGCCTGCAGAATCTGGGGATGTGCCAAACTGAGACCAGCATCCCAGTACTTGGTCCTGGTCTCTGACATGCATGGTACGGACCCGGGTCCCTAAGCCACCACTGCTGCCTTCCAGTGTGCATATTAGTGGGAAGCTAGGCCTGGAAGCGGAGCGAGGCTTGACATCCAAGTGCTCTGATGAGGCTGTGAATATGCCAAGCAGAATCAGAACTACTGCATCAGGTGCCTCCCGCACCCTTTCTGCAGCTATTGAAATGAGTACACTACCTAGGAACCACTTTTCTTTAGGGTAGAATTCTTTTTCTGACTTCTGCTTTCCCTCTGTTTATCCTGTTCTTCCCTTGTGATTTCATTTTTTTTGGACAGTCCTGAGCTCTGTGGTCAACACCATCTCCTGGAATGCTCACAGCTACTCTAGAACTCTTCGTTTTGGATTTTAGAATTATAATGTTCTCCGCCTCCTGCCTCATTGAGGGGAAGGAAACCCTAGTTTCCTGTGAAACTGTTAGGCATCCTCGTACCATTTCCTTGCTTCCCCTGGCTTCAATGCCAAGTGCTCCGTTTTTACTGAGGACAATATGGAGACTTCAAGCCGTCATCTGCCACACCCCATGCTTCTTGCTGTTGTTCTCTGTTTGGTAATTGTGGCACATATTTTATGGTAACACTTAATGCTCTCCATGGGGAAGTCTACCAAGCATCTTCTGAAAACTTGTCAGTTATAAGCTTCCGTGGTACTGTGGTAGAGTGGCCTGTTGGGCACAGTGGGCAGAAGGCTTCTGGGAGATGGACTTTTGTTTCCTGAACTCCAGCCTTAAAAGTTACCCCTTAACTTCTGTAGCCAAAAGCACCTTCTGCCACTCTTTCTTGGCCCCACGCTGCAAGCCTTCTCAAGGGTGATGGCAGAGTGTATCAGTGAGCAAGAAAAATAACGTCTTTTAGTTCCCTTACTGAGTTTTTCTGGATGAACAAATAAATAATTATATTCATGAAGAAATGATCTTAGTAGAGAAAAACAGTTGCGTTAACACAGTAGAGTTCAGTTGTAACCTTTTCAAGATGCAGGGGGCTTTGGACTTGGTGGGGTAACAGGTCTTAACCAGATAGACTTGCAAATACAGAGCTCAGTCCATTAAGGTCTTAATAGTCACTCACTTAGTGGGTTCATGCTGACCCTTTGATTTTGCAAATGGTAAAACAAATCCTGGTATCATGGACTTCATGTGTTACAGCTGCAAAAACAGCCACTAAAAAAGCCTGACCTTCTGCTTCTAACGTTAGGATTGCTAAGGAATCCTCATTTCAGAGAACATTTTAAGGCATTGGATTAATACATTGAAAGAGAGTTCTGTCTTGGGATGGAATTCAGTTACAGGAGCGACATGGTTAATGATTTGAGAATAAATGCAGTTCCTCTAGACTGGGCCACCTGGGTACTTATTAGATCACCAGGAGATAGCAGTGACTAAGTGTGACAACTCTGGCCTCTGACTTCCTGTGTTGGAGACCTTCCATTTCCTCATCTGTAAGTTGAGGTTGGGTAATCATAACAACCGTTTCACAGAATTGAAATGTGAGCTCTTTTAGTGGGATCATGGAATGCCAAATAGCTGGAGCCACCCTTATCAGTGTTTGCTGAAGTTATTCCCATAAGGATGATGATGAAGTTAAAATTTCAGTGAGATCTGGAGGGCTTCGGTGTGCACGTGTGGATATGAGGTCCTTCGGTGTAAGCGCTGATGGAGAGAAACCCATGAGAGCAATTCTGTATAAGGTGATTGTGGGGAGAGGAGGGAGATTGAGTGGGAATGGAGATCAGGTGGCAGCCCGGGGAGGCCTGCAGCTGGCAAGTGGAGGGGCTGGGGTTGGATGCTGCTGAGTGGTGAGACCCTTATGGCAGCAAGGACTTGAGAGGAAGGATAGGACTGGAGAAGCAAGCCAGTCATGGGGCATTGGTAGGGAGGCTCTTGACCCAGTAGGAATGGAAATGGCCAGGGTGTAGATTGGTAGGGCCTGGGAATTGATGGTGTGGGTGTGGAGAGGATAGACCCCCTAGCGTGGGTAGGTGACATCCACAGAACTCTGCGGAAGGATGAATTGGGAGAGGAAATGAGGTTTCAGCTTCAGGACGTACAGATAGGAACCCCCCTGTGATGGAATTCAGAACCGGAATCCAGGAAGTGAGTTTGGTATGGGAGATAAAATTTGGAGAGTCATTTCCGGGTGTGATCCTGTCCATGATTTGAGAATAGTCTTCTAATTCCTTATGAATGGACTTGTAGGCACTGAAAGAGAAGCTCTCATTCTTTGGATAGGGCCAGTTAAGCCAGGTATCACTAGGCCTGGTACTGTCCACTGCTGGTGTGTAGGTAGGGATGGGCCATGCAGGTCGCCCGAAAAGAGCTAACATCCGCTGGTGCAGTTCCTCCAGTGCATTCCAGCTCCCACAGCTTGTCCACACATCAAAGCAGTAAAGTCCCCTTTCCCTCCCGCATTTCCAGTTGTAACCCAGACTTCCCAGGAGGCCTTTGTACTAGGCAAAGAATTAGGCTCACACAATGCAGCATAAAACACTTATGTTACGAGATTTTTGCAAATTTTTATATTAACAAAGTTAGAGACTGGGAAGCTGTTGCCAGAATTTTGCATTTCAGAAATCTCTAGCTGAAGCCATTTTATAACCCTTCATTTTGTATGTGGTCTTCAATGGGGATAAAAATACTTGGTGGGTGTGTAGGTGGTTTCACGTGTTTTTGGAAAGCATGGAGGAGAGGAGAGGCTGAGCTTTGAGTTCTGGGACAGGAGCTGTAATTGCTAAGTGCATCTTGCCTGGGGTGGCTCCTCTGGCATCTAGACACCCAATCTGCCAGAGTCTACAGAGATCCCACTTCGTCTGTGCAGGCTGGTGGCAGAGTGCAGAGGGAGTGCGGGAGGGTGGCTCTTCCCTCCCTGCCTTGTCTCCCAGTTGAGATGCAGCAGCATGACGCCTGGGCTGGTGGTTTTTTGTGGTCTCGTCTGCAGTAGCCATGGCACAACTGCATAGAAAGAGATCTAAATATAACCCAGGGCTTACTGAGCTCCTCTGCCACCAGCCCTGGCGGATGTGGTGAACACCCTAAAAATACCTGCTGTTTGAACCTTTGAAGTAGCTAAAAGGGTAGCTTCCCGCCTCCCGGCCAGAAGGAGGCAGGTGTCACTAGGAGTTGCCAGGCTGATAGCCCATCCATCCATCCATCCATCCATCCACTGGGCGTGCTCCCCAAGCTGTGGGCCAGGTGGTGGGCTGCGTTGTCCTGCTCTCCAGGTCTCATGTTCACTGTTGGCAGGTTTCAAGGGAGCTATTCATAGATGCGACATCTGTTCTCTGTCCCCTTGACCTCAGACCTACAGCTGCCACCACTGTGTTCAGGCAGCGTTGGTGATTTTTTTAGTTGCACTTGGCAGAATTAGAATTTGAGAGCTGTTATGGTCTTTAGACATTCTATTGTTCACAAAACCATTAAAACCACTGTATTTATGGAATTGCATTTCTGTGCCTATGTAGTAACCATAGAAATATAAAAATGGGATCTTAGTCCTTGATGTTAAAAAATTCATAATTATATAACAAAAATAGGATAATGGAATGAGTTTTTCTTTTTTAAATTGACTCAGTGATCCTGTGTGAAGGCTCTTTTTTTTTTTTTTTAAATCTTTTATTGGAAAGGCATATCTATATAGAGAAAAATCTCCCATCTCTTGTTTAACCCCACAGATGACCACAACAGCTGGAGCTCAGCCAATTTAAAGCCAGGAGCTTCTTCCTGGTCTCCCACGCAGGTGTAGGGGTCGTAAGGCTTTGGGCCATCCTCCTCTGCCTTCCCAGACCATAAAGAGGGGGCTGGATTGGAAGTGAAGCAGTTGGGACCCAAACTGGTGCCCCCTGTGGAATCCCAGCGGAGGATTAGGCAATTGAGTCATTGCACTGGGCCTAGGAAGGCTTTTGTTTTTCACCAAAACACTGGGCTCCGTTTCTTGCCTTAGCTTCAGGACTTAGGTTGTGAAGTGGGTCGGCAACACACCCAGGATACCAGGAGGCCTGTCTGCAAGGAGCTCAGTAGAATCCGGTTTCTAGGATTGCAAAGGATAAGCATGGTCTGTGGCTGAGCCCTTGTTTCTCAGCAGAGATTTCACCTGTTTTCTCTGGAAGCCATGGGATGCAGGTGGAGTTGTGAGGAGTTCAGTTCCAGCGATGTTACTTTGTGGTGATCTCTCTGAGCTTCTCAAAGCTCCTTCAGGTCTCTGCGAGAGATGAATGTATGTATGTGTTGTATGTGTTTTGCCTTATTTAAAGTAAACTGGACGATTTTTTTTTTCCTTGAATGAAACATGCTTGGTATTGTTTTAAAAATGTCACTTAAGGCGTGTCTGAAATAGCCAGCTCTGGAAGCTCAAACTTCCCAGGACCAGGAGGTATGGAATGAGATCCCCGCTCTCCTCCCCCGGAAGTAGCCTGGGGTTTTTGTGGAGAAATTGTGGTTTTTGAATCCTTCCTACCTTCAGTTGAGTAGAAGCCAAGGAGAGTGTGGGTACCAGGTGCATGTCACAGGGCAGGAGTGTCGGGGATTAGCGTTCTTGACTTCTTATGACTTCCCCCTCTGCAATTCCAGAATGAAGAGCTGCGAAACTTGTCCCTTTCTGGCCATGTGGGCTTCGACAGTCTCCCTGATCAGCTGGTCAACAAGTCTACTTCGCAAGGCTTCTGTTTCAACATCCTGTGTGTCGGTGAGTGGCCGTCGCCTGTGGCCAGCAGGGTCCTGACCCTCTTGGATGTGGGCCGCTGACCCTCAAGCGCATGCTGTAGGGATATCAGGCCAGAAGTGATAACTGTCACACTCTCTCTTCATTGGAGGGAGAGGAAAGTGATTTCTCGTTTGCTCCCAGAGTGGTACATGGTCACAAGGATTGAGAGCTGTGCTTGGTTCTGGTAAACACTTTGTTAAGTTTTGTGGTTTTACTGAAAGTACTTTTGTTTCTTTCCTACAGTCAAGCCATTGGCCAGCTTAGTAATATTGTTATTAAAACATTTTAACTGTGGGTGGTCAGAGGGATTTAAACCCTAACTAGGCAATGGGGAGTTGGAAGAAAGAAGTCAGGGGGCCTGTGCTGTGGTGTAGTTGGGCAAGCCTCTACCTGCCATGCCAGATCCAACTCCCTGCTTATGGGCTGGGATGGGAGCAGAGGATGGCTCAAGTCCTTGGGCCCCTGCACCCACCTCTAACAAGTCCTAGAGGAAGCTTCTGGCTTTGGATTGGCTCAGCTGCAGCCATTGCTGCCATCTGAGAATGAACCAGTGGATGGAAGATCTTTCTGGCTCTCCCTTGTTTCTATAGGTCTGCCTTTGAAATAAAAATGAATAAATATTTTAAAAAGAAAGGAAGGAGATAGACATCTACGGGAAGAACATTCACAACTCTTCCAATAATTTGTTTACAGGGCCTGTACTACAGAGCATCAGTAATCATTGCTGTGGGGTTTTATTTTTAAAATGTTTACTTCTTGAAAGGTAAGGGGAGAAGTCAACAGATCTTCCATCCACTGTTTCCCTTTCCTAGTGGCCACAAGAGAGAGCCAGATATAGGCTGGTTGAAGCCAGGAGCCAACAACTCCGTCTGGCTCTCCTGAATGGATAGCAAAGGGCTTGAGCACTTGAGCCTTCTTCCACCTTCTAGGATGCCTTAGCAGGAAGCTGGATTGGAAACAGAATAAACTGGGACTTGAACCTGCATTGTGATGTGGGATATGTGGGCATTCCAAGTGGTGATTTAACTGCTTCACTGCAAGTTTTTACAGGTACATCATGTGCAGCAAGTAAAATATAAAACAATTCTAAGTACTTTAATAAACTTACAGTGTTTAAAAAATGAACTCTTAGGGCAAAAGACAATCTAAAATTCTTGATTTTGAAACAAATTTCTTGCCTCAGTTACTGACCTAAATTCAAATCTGCAGGGAACTTTATTCCTAGCACACAAATGGAAAAAAAAAAAAAACCAGAAAGAACTGAATGACTTGCATCCCTGTATGTGACATTCAAATCCCTTACACGTTATACTTTGCCCGTGGTATATTTCTCTTCCAATCTAGTCATGTGCCATTTAAGCTAAGAAGGGGAAGGTAGAAGAGGGGGAAAGACAACAAACTCAAAATAGGAATCTGTCTCCTGGTCGATTAGAGGGGGTTGTCCAGGCTCAGATGTCAGCCCCACCTTTCTCCGGGCTTTGGCTCGTAATGGCCAGCTGGGAGATGGTATGGGCTGCTTCTGGCACAGAGAATTGCATAAATGGGTTTCCAGTGCAGTTAAGACTGTCTCCCATTTCCAACCCACACTGTGAAAATGACAGAAACATCTGTAAGCAGGAACAGCTGCCTCCAGAGGCTCAAGGCCACTGATCCCTCTGAGACTGGCCTAAAGAAGTCCGTGGTGGCCCACCCTCCCTTTGATCTTAGTTGAATGTCTCAGACGAACTCCTGTGAGAATGCAGAAGAGATACGCACTGTGTACATTTTGAAAATGGACCCTGGGATGACATTGGGTGCCCATTCCCCAACCTTGCCTACTGCTGTTGAAAGGTTGGGTGCGGTTTCTCCCCTCTACCCTAACTTCCCCTAGATACAGAAGGAAGAAAAAGAAAACTTGGCAACAATGGTCTTACCCACTTCACCCTAAGCCTCGACCCTTCCCACTCTGATCAACTATGTAAGCAACATCAAAAATAAAAACAAATAAAAAGTTTTTAAAAAAATTTGTTCACTTTTGGTGTCCATTAACAGTGAGCACCAGTTGGCCCACCCACTCTGCCCGCTTGCTCTCTGGAGTGAGCTTTAACTACTGGACAGGGGACTGCTGGGAGAGAAGCAAGCCTGTTGCAGCAACTCCCTGCTCTCGCCATGTGCCCCTTGTGAAGCCTTTTCAGTTTTAGCAGGGGGCCTTCTTGAAGGCAGCTCGTTCTACTGAGCAGTTCTACTGAGCAGCCATAAACTGCTTGTCTTTTCTCTTGATGTTTGTGCTTTTCTGCAGAGCAGGGCAGCTCCTCATTAGCATAGCATCTTGTTGGCAGCTTGTTGGTTTTCTGTTGGGAAATAGGCTCTGGTGTAAGCTGAGGCCAATTGCTGTTTTTGATTCACTTTCACCTCCCCAGCCAGCCCTGTCTCCAAAATCGGTTTCCAGAGTTTAGCTGAGGGGTAGGTGCTTGGCACAGTGGGTACAGGAGATGGTTTAGGTGCACTTACATCCCTTGATCCCACCTCTTGCTAGTTCACATTCTGGGAGGCAGCAGGTGAGAGCTCAAATACCGTGACTGAGCTACTAGCCCACATCTTTAACCTGGCCCAACCCTGGATATTGCTGGCATTTGAGGAGTGAACTAGCAGATGGAAGAACTCCTGTCTTTCTGTCCCTCAGATTCAAAGAAAAAATGCAATATATGCAGGAATAGATATGTCTACATAGACATTTATATCTGAGTCCTATAGCCTGGCTCCTACCAGGAAGGGAAAAAGCCTTCTAGTGGGATGTAGACTTGCTGGGAAAACTTAACCCAGTACATTGTGTGCAGCAGGATGTTCTGGCTCCGTGGCTGACCTCACCCCGTGTTAAAGAGTGTCAACCTTATGCTGGCTGGAATTTCCCAGAAACTACATCAGGGTTGCCCTATAGGGTCTGCAGAACAGTAATCATGCTTCCTGTCCTCACTGGGTGATAATACTTGGGATTCATAAATATTTATTAGGGTTACATCCTCATATATGCTTAAAATACCCAAGCTAGCTAATATAAAATGTGCCACTTGAAATTGCAAAATCCTCTCCTCTTACCTTTTGCCCTCTGCTTCCATCCCACAGAGATAACATTGTAAATGCATCCTCTGTCTGTCTGAATGAGGAAATCAATTGGGGAGCCTTAGATCCTTCACCCTGCTGTGCTGAAGCCCAGGGGAGGCATCCCCAGGGGAGAGGCCTTTCTTGGCCCTTCCCAGTCTCCAGAGGCTGCTCACACATCTTGGTCCTTGGATACTGTTTTCTGACTTGCAGGTTGGCCTGTTGCATCTTTCGTATTGTTCTTGCATTGGGAGAGCTGCAGCAGTTCAGTTTAACTGCAGATAAAACTGTCTCTTCTGTTTCTTTCTTACATGAGTTATAAAGCCAGCCCAAGTCATGTGGTCAGCAGCTGTCTCCAGGAACTCACCGCTGCCCGTCTAGGCTCTCCTCTTGGTTCTGCATCCTGCCGGCTTCTGCTTGCTCTCCATTTGGGATTTCTGTTAGCAATAGTCAGGCTTCCAGTTGTGTTGCAGGCTTTGCAACCCCAGGAGAAAGAAGTGGTGATTCCTGACATGTCTCGTTTGAAAAGTCATGGGAGTTCTCGTGATCCACCAGGACTGAACATATGCCCACCTGCCTAGGTGGAAATGAGGTCTGTCCACTCCAGAACACAGGGGGTTCCCTGCATGGGAAAGATGTTATCAGAGAGGAGACTGACACACAATGCCAGGCAACTTGATTCACCACCAGGCAGTACTATCTCCAATATTTGGATGTTTTATTCCTGTGTCAGTTGGGTTGACAGTACCATCTCCAATGTTTGGATGTTTTATTCCTGTGTCAGTTGGGTTAACTTCTGATCCGCTTTGCATTATTTGAAATCTAGAACAATAGAGAGGGATAAGGAAGAGATCCTCTGTCTGGTGGCCCTCTCCTCAGATACCTACAACAGGTGGAGCTAGGCCAAGTCAAAGTCAGGAACCTGGAACTCCTTCTGGGCGGGGACCCAAGTACGTGAGCCACCATTCATTGCCACCTGCAGGATGCATCTGCGGGAGGCAGAGATGTGGGGACTCAATGGAGTGTGGTGTCTCAAGTGGCAGCTTAACCTGCTGGGCCACACAACACCCATCCCTTCAAACTACACTTGTAAAGAAACCTTTCTCCATTTTACTAGTGTAGTATTTCTCCAGGGAATCTAAATTAGATCTAAATTGGTATTCAGATTTTTGTTCATTTGCCAATTTTGTTCATTTGCCAGTTGCTAACTGATGACACCATCAGCAGTGACTCAGCTGTGTGTCAATTCTTTGAGTTCCCCAAGAAGGCATGAGCTGCTGTAGCACCCCGTTTTTTAAGCTCAACCAATAACATGGAGTTAAAGTCATTTACTAACATGTTTTGAAAACAGAAGGCCTAAAAAAAAAAAAAAGACAACTTACATGGATGTGAGGGGATGAAGATGAGGGAAATCACACAAGTTACAGGTATCAAGTTGTGGGCCTGGCGTGGTAGCCTGATGGCTAAAGTCCTTGCCTTGGATGTACCAGGATCCTATGTGGGCGTCGGTTTGTATTCCGGCTGCTCCACTTCCCATTCAGCTCCTTGTTTGTATCCTGGGAAAGCAGCGGAGGACGATCCAAAGCCTGGGGACCCTGCACCTGCGTGGGAGACCCAGAGGAAGCTCCTGGCCTCAGATAAGCTCAGCTCTGTTGTAACCACTTGGGGAGTGAACCATTGGTTGGAGGATCTTTCTGTGTCTCCTGTCTCTCTGTAAATCTGAATTTCCAATTAGAATAAATAAAGCTTTAAACAAACAAAACAATGTCAAGTTATAGGCCATAGTTTGGCATACATTGTGGAATTTTATAATCAAGTGTTAAGCATTTTAATGTCATCCTGTTTTTCCAGTAATAGAAGTGGGTGTCCAGGGTATAATGATTGAAAAGAAAATTGCCCCCAGA